ACCAGTCTACATGAGTTTTTGAGGACTGGTCACGTGTAAAGGATAGGCCAATGCGAGAAATGTTCAAGCATATAATAATAGAAAATGTAGGATGGGGAAAATTAACCCCCTCAACTAATCATTCTTCAAAAAGGCGAATACGTTTCACCTGTTCTTGCTTTTTTGCGTCTATTGGTTTAAATATTAATAATAATTAAGGTTAAGTAATGATTAAAAAGATAAAACAAGAAATATGAAAGGGCTCAATTTCGGGAAAACAATTTTTTTTGTTTCTCTACCGCAACGGCTATAAATGTATAATATAATTGAGAAAAAAATCTCTAGATTAAAACTTACATGACTGCATGTCGAATAGGTATAACGGCTTAACATTGATCCCTCGAACAGGTGGCAAGCTTTATTATCTAAAACGATAAAGAACTACCACTGATGTTAACACGTAATACTCATTTTTATACCCTAACTGTCGACCATCGATCTTTTAGTTCGCATATTGAATTAATATCATATTGCGGGACTTATTTGAAGGGTTGGTTCCTATATATGTTTGTTGGAATTATACAGTATATAAACCGTTTCGGGTATGTCACTCTGTATATAAATGAGAAATTGAATCCATCTATTTTATTTTAACCAAACAAGTATAACAATATTACAAGTATGCATTGGTTTGATTATAAAAGACGAACTAGATGCAAAACATCAACTCACTTGTATCCTCCTGTATGCATGCAAAGAGTGCAAGAAGGAACGAATGACTGTCATTCTGTTTTCCAAGACGAAATGAATCATCACTGAAAGTCAATAGGAAAGTCGTTGTAAAATATAACACTTTTTTATATTTCAAAATAACTGCCACACGTTGACCATGAAATTTCTAAGCGAAAATACACTACTGAAATTCTTGCATTACGACAGGCTACGTCTAAGGGCGATACTACATTATTCAGCCAACACCAATCGTTTATAATGAATTATATAACACATAAATGTTATTAGATTTAATAAAACATACATACATACATACATACATACATACAGACAGACATTATTCATACGTCTTACCTATCAAAAATTATGTTCAGCAAACGTTGTAAGGACTGGTTCCTCTTATGATATAAAACGTCTAAAAGATATTCAGCAGTTGAAGTCTAAATACAGGGGAAATAACAAGTATAGATTATCATGTCACTCTCGTGCCTTTTTCCTAAAAAATACAAAATTGAGTCCCCTTTGTCCAAGGATTCTCCAGACAAAATAAGGATAAAATACCTTTATCCCTACGATAGAATACACGTGTACATGTATATGCATATATAATGTGTGTTTCCCCAAAAGTGTACGCATAATTTGAAAAACTTACATGAATTAAAAAAATATCACTTTAAGTTCAATCTCTCATTTTCTGGTGTTTGATACCTTATATAGTTATGTACAAGTAATAGTCCAGATATCAATGAGCGAATGGAGTTTTCATACATAGTAACGTTGCAACATCTAACTTACCTGGACATGTGTCCGAAGTTCTTTCTTGAATCCAGGAGTCTGACAAAGTACCTTCAGAATAGATGTCATCATAGATTATGTTTAACTGTTAATGCACTATCTAGATAAATACAGAACATCTGCATTGAAGGCAAAAGTGAGATGAAATAAAAAAAATAAAAAAAGCTTTTTGTCATTGAATTGAATTGGAATTGAGGTTAAGGGTACCAACAGGTCAAACCGAATTGTTATCATTTTCACTATAGCGAAAAACTATTCCACAAAAAGCACATGTTGCCATCCATTTTACATAACTATCATCAGAAATTTGAATAATTGAATATTGAAATATTAAAGAAAGAGTATAAACAAAAATAGGGTGGAACTACATTACGAAGCAGACACTTTACAAATGTTGCGATTCAGGAATTATATAAAATTATATAAATAAGTTTCTAATTTTTGATCCGGAAATTAAAGCTAATGAATAAATTGGCAGGGAAAATTATTATAAGCAAGAAAAACTGTTTTGACTTTTTTATCTTATATATACAAGGGAGAATACTCCAAGTGAAAATAAATTCTCTTAAGTGAAACTTTTCTTCGTGAATATAACTGATACAGTGTTACCATGTACCTTAAGATACATTCATGGCGTAAAATAGTACACATGCAGTATTTAAATAGTATTTACAATATACTATGCTCTTGTCAGCTTGTACTTATTCATAATTGTTATGAAGGTTATATATATATATTGTTTCAGAGCAGGTTAAATGAAAACGTATTTGTTTTTAACATTCATAATTTTACTTGACATAAATTTTCGAACCTGAACAAACATGTTTTTATTTAGCTGATCCTTTGAACAGATCATCCACCGGGATGTATCCCCGAGTTTCCTGGTCCATGTATGTTTACAAACGCATTCGATATTCACTAACGCATTCTGTATATATAAACGCATTCGGTATATACAAACACAATCTGTATATACAAACGCATTCTGTATATACAAACGCATTCTGTTTATA